GTTCCCTCTAAGCTGTGGAGTCCTGTGAGCAAAAATTCTACTTTGTGAGCTACTGGCATTAAAGTTGTGAGCGAGCAATTTGGCGACTGCATAAATTAATTTGCTCTGGAGCCATCCTTCCTGAGCTAAGACAAGAATGTGTGAGCTGGAGGCTAAAAAACTGTGAGCGAGCTCACACTAACTCAGCTTAGAGGGAACACTGATCTGGACCCCACTGCAGGGCTTTTTTGGTAGAAAAAGTCCAGCAGAAACTCATTAGCATAATAGGCCACACCCAGCAGCAGAAACTCATTAGCATATTAGGCCACACCCCAAACAGCACAGCTCATTTTCCTATTAGGCCACACCCCCATGTTACCTGAAGTGTGGTCATCCAGCCACAGCCACCTTTTGCTTCTTATTCTGTTTACCTTGTTTGTTGTCCAAACCCAGGGCCTTTTTTTGTAGCAGGAACTCCTTTGCATGTTAGGCCACACACCCCTAATGTAGCCAATCCTAATGAGTTCCTGCCACTGGGTGCGGCCTATTATGCTAATGAGTTCCTGCTGGGCGTGTCCAACTCAGGAGCCAGCCAGAACTCCGTTCCTGTGCGTTCCTGCCCAAAAATAGCCCTGCCCCACTGATTGGTCTTCTGGGCAGTCCACGGTGCCCGCAAAACTCTCCTCCAACACCGCATCCCCAGCGAACCAACTTTCAGCCTGTCAGCTTTCTTCGATGGGCCATGGCGACCCCTCCCACATGAAAACACACTTCGTCCTAAACCGGTTCTCAGGAAATGTCTTTTTATTTAAGAATTCTCTCTTGAGAAAGAAGAAGAAAAAAATAGCTTACGCATCCCAACACTGTAGCACTCATAGCTTAATCCTACTGCTCCAGGTTGTTCATTGGCAGAACTGATCACGGCTTGCGTTCCAGAATAAAATTAAAAACACACGCACATATTCCCTAACTTGGTTACAAAACTGAGGAAGATTAAAAAAATGGGAATAATTCTGATGTTATCTTTATACGTATTACACAGCAATATCTGGGCGCGGTTTTAGCTTCAGCGCAGCTACGTCGCAGGATTTGTATTCTGGAGATATCCACAGGTGCCAACGCAAGATAGTCCCTTGGTTTTCTGTGTGCCTAAACAGCTTCTGGGTATTCTCACTGTCAGGATACGCACACGCCAAGTTCAGAAGCGTTGTCTGATCCTTCCACCAAAGAAAAGTATATCGCCCCCCCCCCTCCTGAGATTCGCTTAGTTAACGCTCCTATTTAAGCCCAGTCTCCAACTTCCTCCTGACAGCGAAAGAAACTAAAACACACAAGCAGAAGCCCTCTGTGATCGCTCGGTGGCTGGGGTTTACCATTTAGGGGACCGGACAGCAGAATACTTGCTCGAGTTAGAGAGAAAACGCCTTCCGGGCGCAAAGGCAGCGTGCTTTGGGGAGCATCCCGTCGGTGGTGGGACCCTTTGGAAATGACTCTACCACCCCCGTCCCGCCCGCATTCTGAAATGGTGCCGCCCAGAGCAATCAGGAGTGGCTCCAGTTTATCGACTTCACGACCAAGGGGCAGGCACTGGCAAGAGGGGACGAGGCTCCTCCGCCCGCCCTGCAGCTTTAAACACTTCTCTAGCCCGTGGGCCAAAAGGGCTGCAGCCGGTTTTCTCCAGCAGGTGAGATGGAGCAAGCCTTAAACCGTGCACAGACAGTTCGCGGGGTCCCAGCGATACCCCCCTTCCGCCAGTCCCAAATGGAAAGATGACAGCCCGCGGGGCCTTCCGGAACTTCCCCCCTTTTCACAAGTTGTCGTAATCGTCGTCTTCTTCGTGCTTCCTTTTCAAGGGGTTCGAATCGTTGGCGGCGTTCTGCGAGGACACCATGTTGGTGGTGATGAGGATGTTTTTGGAGCCCATAAGGGAGGGGTTGATCAGCACGTTCTGCACCGTCGGCGTCGTAGGAGTCGCTGAGAAGGAAAATGGAAAGACTGAGCGCCTGGTTTTGTGTGGCTCGGCAGCTCAAAGGTTTCCCAAACCTCAGCCGAGGAGGACGGGGGGTAGACTTTTGTTTCGAAATCCCCTAGACGATTGGTTCCCCCCATTTTCAGGGTGGCGCGAATTCTACAAATGAGAAATGGTGGGATTTCTCCTGGGCGCAAGACTCTCTGGTACTCCACAGCAGATAAAAGGAGCACCAGTTCTATAAAGCCAGCAACCGCATCTTGAGGGGGTCAATTTGCATGCAATGGTCAAGTCACACTAGTTGGGTCACTCCCAAGGCTCCCTCTAAGCCGTAGAGTCTTGTGAGCAAAAATTCCACTTTGTGAGCGACTGGCATTAAAGCTGTGAGCAAGCGATTGGGCTACTGCATAAATCAGTCTGCACTGGAGCTCTCCTTCCTGAGCTAAGACAAAAACGTCTGCACCGGAGGCTAAAAAACTGTGAGCGAGCTCACACTAACCCAGCTTAGAGGGAACACTGGTCACTTCCACGTTAAGCATTCAACCGTCCTGCCTGTGGAGCCAAAATCCGGAATGCCTTGATGGCTTTTCTAAGAAGAGATGCAAAATTTTGCATCAATAATTAC